GCAGGCTTAGTTGAAAAATTAGAGAGATTTAGCATCCATGTCAGAGAAGATCCACTGGAGTGGGCAGAGGACGTGATCTCCACAAGGGAGCTGGCTCACCTCATTTACGACCTATGCCTGTTTACGGCCTAGAACCCTGTGCCTCGGGCTGGCACAGGGCAGGCACTCTGTGAAGATTTACTGATGGGCTGACTGACCAAAGAAATGACTGGGTGAGGCTGAGAGGTTAACAGCCCAAGAATGTTAAAAAAAAAAAAAAAAAAAAAACAGAATCAGATTCCTTCCCTCCAATCTTAAATCATCACTCAAACACATCGAAACCATGGAAACTCAGGCAACGATGATGATCTTCGTATCAAGTTAAAGGTCAGCCTGGCGGTCACCGTCTCGGGCTTGAAGTCTAACGTTACAGCCGAGCACATGCTGTACCTGAATGACAGGACCTGCTCTGATGGATGGGAAATGAGCACAGAAGGTGACCCTGGCAGGAGGCCTGGGCCACGCTCTAGCCTGCGGCATCAATTAATGGTCCGTCTATCTTCATCTGTATCCGGTGCCATGAAGAATCTGAACTTGCTGATACAACCAGAAAAGAAGACATGAGTTTATTTCTTGCAGAGTCTACAACTCTGCTAATCAAAATCCTTCTTCTCTACCCGCAAGGGAAGAATTAATAGCTTTCGGATTACAATCACCATTCAGCTCAATTTACAATCCCAACCCCGTATATGATGCAAAATTATCTCTTTCCCTCCTTATAGGCTATTTGGACTGGTAAAGGGTTCTTTCTCCTTTTCCTCTTTCTTCTAGGCTCTGTCTTTATATCGGGGATGGGGGAGGTAGAAAGTCAAAGTGTGAGTCGCTCAGTCGTGTCAGACTCTGCGGCCCCACAGACTGTAGCCCACCAGGCTCCTCTGTCCACAGGATTCTCCAGGCAAGAAGACTGGAGTGGGTTGCCATGCCCTCCTCCAGGGGACCTTCCCGATCCAGGGATCGAACCTGCGTCTCCTGTATTGTGGGCGGATTCTTCACCATCTGAGCCACCAGGGCGCGGGGTGGTAGAGAGGGTTATAAAAAGGGTAAACATCTCTTCGTAAAGCTGGAGAAGGCTGCTGTTTTATCTCTGCCGGTCGTCACTGCTTTTCTGGTTAACACCTGACCAGAACTGCTCTGACTTAAGTGTCCAAATCCCAGGGCGGGTCTGTGGGCTCTTGGTGGGTGCGGATTGTCAGAGCTCGCTCACGTGGGGGACCCACCTTGGCTTGAGCCTATCCCAGGGCCCCGGCTTCCTTCCCTAGCATGTACCCCGCAGTCCCTGCAGCCAGGAACTTCCGAGGGCGGAGGGGGGACTGGACCCCCGTAGGCTGGCTCGTGTACAACTTCCCTCCTCGGCATCCACTGGACGCACGGCCCGCCCTCCACCCTTGGCCTGCCGAAGAGAGGCACGTAGCCGCCCCCCTTGCCCTTGCCGCAGGGGCAAGTCAGGGACTCAGCCTCCGTAGATGTGACCGCTCCGCGGCCCCTCTGTCATGCACCCCCATCTTTACCCCAGATCTTCCCAGACTCCCCCCTCACGGGGTGGAAACCACCTCATCATTGATTCCAGAGGGACAGAGAAGCTTCCCGCGTGCCCTCCTGTTACACAGCTAAGGAAGCGCTCACACGGTGACGTCACAGGCCACCGAGCCACGGCGCTGCCCTTGGAGAAGCAGCCAGGACTGGGGCGGGTGTTAGCCGAGCGGGTACCTGGCCTGCCCTGCCTCTTCGCCCTACTGCCCTCCCAGGTGCCCGCGTCGGGGCCCAGCTCCCGGGCCTGCGGGCACCTCTGGCCCCAGCTGAGCGCATACGACCCAGCTGGGCCTGCAGCTCTGAGTTCCCCGCCTCACTGCAACCATGTACAAACAGGACGACTCCCCCCACCCCGCCGGAGCCTGACCTGAGGCTCCCTTGAAGATCGAGATAAGCCTAGATGTGAACCCGAGCTCTGCCCTGAGTGGTTGTGACCTTGGGCGAATGCCTGAACCTCCCTGGATCTGAGACTTTATCCATAAAAAAGAAAAATACCGCTCCTTATTCGCAGGAGTATTGTTAAAAGTCAAATGGGAAAGTGCCTGGCATTTTTACAAGCTCAGCAAAATCCTAGAACAAAGTAGTCATGAGCGAGGTTGAGATAAAAGGAGTTTGATCTCATTTTAAAAATTCAGCAACTATTGGGACTTCCCTGGTGGTCCAGTGGTTAAGACTCTGCACTTTCGATACAGGGGACTCAGGTTCAATCCCTGGTCGGGGAATTAAAATCCCACATGCTACGCAGTGTGGCCAAAAGATAAAAAAATAACAATAAATAAAATTCAACAACTATGGCATGAACACGACCTCCTGTCTTCTTAATGCACTAAATTCTCACAGTAACACATGACCTTGAGGGGATGACTTTTTCTTAATAGATACTAAGCTGAGCTAAGGTCCTCATGGCCTTTGCCTCCCCTTGATTCTAATACCAACAACTCAGGCAGCGTCTGAGGTGAGCCCTGCTCCAAGGACAAGAACGACTTCTGACCTTTCTCTATTTCATTTAAACCTGCAAGCGAACCTGGCGAGGGCCCATTTGCCATGCCCACTGCCCACAGCAAACATGGACCCGGTCTCCTGGCTACTGAGAAACAAAAATCAACAGACGTGATCTTTAAAAGAACGAATGCTCTAAGCAAACAGTTTAAAACTCCCATGAAGGTGTGTGTGCTCCTGGGCAAATAGGAAGACGGCATGACTTGTATGGGACACCAACTTTCTTTAATGGATCAGCCTCCAACTTCTTATCGCCGAGAGCAAACACACTGAGTGCTAAATATACCCTTCAAATCAAATCCTTTGGATTAATTTCTTTTAAATCGGGACTACGCCTGGCCCAACAGCTGCCACATTGCCCAGAAGGTTTACATAACATGGTACACACTTGGATCGCTGGCCCTTAAATCAGCAGCCAAATCTGTTTGCCTCTATTTAAATCTGAGAAAACGGGATCGGAGAAGGGCAACCTAATTCACTTTAAAGCCCCTGCCTTTCCATCCCTTTATTATTATTGCTATTATTTGGCCAAGCCGTGTGCGGGATCTTAGTTCCTCAAAGTGAAAGTTGCTCAATCATGTCTGACGCTTTGCCAACCCCACGGACTGCAGCACAACAGGCTTCTCTGTCCATGGAATTCTCCAGGCAAGAATACTAGAGAAGGTAGCCGTTCCCTTCTCCAGAGAATCTTCCTAACCAGGGATCAAACCCATGCCCCCTGCAATGGAAGCACAGAGTCCTAACCAATGACTGCCAGGGAAGTCCCCATCCTTTTCTGATTTTGTCTTTAGCATGTGTCTCTAAGATAGGCATTTGTGCAGTTGTCTCTGACTTCAGAAATTCAGAGCAGCTCCACTAACCTGACACAAGAGACAGAATGAAGACGAGGGAAAGTCAAGGTGAGAAGGATGATGAAGCAGAGAGAAAAACACATTGAAAGAGAGCTGCTGTAAAAGAGAGAGACTTTTCAGCATCTTTCGAGTAAAAAATCCTCAAGCAGAGAAGCTATTTCTCCCGCGGTCCGAAGCCTCTTCCCTGTTGTGCTTTGAGGATTTCTCTAAAAGGAAGGGAATCCATTACCTGTCATCTACTAGAATGTGATCCGGCTGGAATCTGGTTTGTCCTTCATCTGCGTGGTTGGTCTGCCCTACCGGCATCTAAGAGGAGCTCTTCCTCACCACCCCGCCCCGGCCCCACGGCCACCTGCCTGTTAGACCATCCGGGACTGTTCTGAGGTCAGTGATGGAAGACATCTAGCTACGTGATCGAAACCGTGCATCAGAGTATTTGATGACATGGGGCTCAGAGAAGCAGAAAAATTGCCAGGGTCTGGGTCAACCACACAATGAGTAGTATCCCAATTTCCTTGATTTCTCTTATCGGCTGTTGAGTACAGACCCATGTCTGCAATTACCCACTTCATGGTAACTGATGTTTAACATTTTGAAGCCCTTATGTTCTTTCAACCTTTTTATGATTAAAATTTCTTTCACACTATAATTTACAAAACAAAAGTTTGTTAAAATCCTCCTCTCACCCCACGGCGGCGGGGGGAAACACTGTTAACAGTTTAATATATATACCCTTAAACTTTTTTCAGTGCATAGAATAATGTATAATTTTTATAATATAATTACTATTACCTACATGGGATCATGTTATAGATTTCTGTAGCTCACTTTTGCTATTTCGCAGTACATCTCGGACACTGTTCTGCACCCACATGGAGAAAGAACATGGACCTTTCTCTCTTATCACTCATAGATCCAGCTATATTTTATTCATAACTGGCAAGAAATTCCAATGCCAAATGTGTTGAATCAGTGGCCATATCGCTCTATCACCTCATTTTATCCTATATATTCCATGCCCCTCTTCTCCTTGGAATTCTACTAGGTGAGTGTTTATCCTTCCAAATCTTTTTCTGTTTTAACTGACATTTTTTTACCTACCTATAGTTCACTTTTTTCCATAGACACAGTAATTACATATTAATTTGTAACTTTTTTCTTTTAAACTTAACATTCCATTTTGGAAATCCTGCCATGTCATAAAACATAGTGGAATTAACTACAAGCTGAATTTGCAAGAGAAGAGGTGACCATCCCACAAACACTGAACTGCGGGGATTCCACAGTGAATTTCATATTGTTAGAGAAGAAAAGGTCCTTTTGTGAACAAACCAAAGAATAACCTGGCATGTTTAGGAGAGCGATCTCCAGTGTCACACCACACTTTTGTCGTGTGCACCAAGTACCGAGCACAAGGCTCGGAGCCAGGAAGGCTCGGGGCCCCGAGAAGCAGGCAGGCATGGCAGCCGCTGGGCAAAGGGAAACGGCCCCCTGCAGACGGTGCTCCCCAGGCAGGCGAAGCCTCATCTCTTCTCCATGAGTCTGAGCTGCAAAGACATGCATCGGCGTGGCGACACTCACCTTGGGCCGAGTATCCACGACGTAAATGAAGTCGCTTCCCGGGTTGGCCTTCCTGATGGCCTGCAGCATCTGCTCATCCTCCAGGCAGCGGGCGCTGAAGCCGGACAGAGGCTGGCTGCTCCGGCAGATGGAGGCCTGTGGGGAGAGGCCGCGGCAGCATGGCAGCATCAGGTCGACTGCACCCCCCCGAGACCCTCAGGACCGTCACCGCAACAAAGGCCACTCACCCCCACCCCCTGGTTTACTTACACCACCGGCTTGTGAAAGTATCAATGCTTTCAGGAAATTGAAGTTGGCATCTTTCTAACTCAAAAAACCATTACATGGGTAAGCAGTGCAAAAAGCTTCTCTGAGTAACAGCTAGGATGCATAAGCATGGGCTTCCCAGGTAGTACTAGTGGTTTTAAAAAAAGAAAAACAACAAAAAACCTGCCTGTCAGTGCAGGGGACATAAGAGACCTGGGTTCAATCCCTGAGTCAGGAAGATTCCCTGGAGAAGGAAATGGCAATCCACTCCAGTATTCTTGCCTGGAAAATTCCACAGAGGAGCCTGGTGGGCTACAGTCCCTGAGGTCACAGAGAGTTGGACATGATTGAGCATGTACACATGCAAGGCTGTTTAGGTAGGATCCAAATGATGAAATGTAAAACCATCTAAATAGTCTACTCTGCTTGACACCACTTCATCTTCCTGCGAAAGTAGAAATATAAAGTAACTCTTCTCCTAAAAATTGTAAAAGTTACTTCTTTAGTGTTTCCAGCATTTACTAGCTCACTTAGAAACATCACAAAACCCTCAAACCGATTCTCATCCTAAACAGCGGAGTGTTCACGGTTACAGAGCCCGGGCTGCTGCCGATGTCTAAGGACAAGAGGCTCAGGCCTAGGTTGATGTAGGTGGCTTAGAAGCAAGGGCTTCCTTGGGAACCGACCTGTGTGCTGTTCTGCAATTTCCCTGTTCTGTGATTCCAACAGAGTACCCTGAACTGTGGCTCAGGGCTTCCCTGGTAGCTCAGCTGGTAAAGAATCTGCTTCTAATGAGGGAGACCTGGGTTCGATCCCTGGGTTGGGACGATCCCCTGGAGAAGGGAAAGGCTACCCACTCCAGTATTCTGGCCTACAGAATTCCATGGACTGTATAGTCCATGGGGTCGCAAAGAGTTGGACACAGCTGAGTGACTTTCACTTTCACTTCTCGCCCTTAACTGTGGGACGAAGTACACAATAGCATAACCATCCCTCTGAGTTAGTAATGGGTGAGTATAGCCACAACCTCACAGCTGTGAAACTTACACTTTTGTGGCCAAGTACCTCCTATGAATTTAGATTTTATTTTAACACTTAGATTGAAGTCAAATCACCAAATACAATCTAGGCATGACTCTTTCGAAGAATCTGCACTGAGCCTGGGTACCCACGTGTACGAGGGCGGGGGTGGCCCTGGCTCAGGGAAGGGGGCAGTGCTTAGGAGGGAGCCCTCCCCTGGAAAGAGCCAGGGTGCGGCCCGTTCCGGCGCCCGCATGCCGGGCTCCTTCCTGGAAGGCACCCCGGCTCCGAGTCCAAGTGCAGCTTAACTGTCCTTTAGGCTGATCCCAGGGCTACTCAGCCGGGCTTGGGTTTCTCCAGGGAAAGGTGAGCCCTGAGACTCCTCACTGGAGAAGGCAGGATATTTCTTACTAACTATATGATCCTCAGGTGGCGCTAGTGGTAAAGAACCCGCCTGCCAATTTAGGAGACATAAGAGACATGGGTTCGATCCCTGGGTTGGGAAGACCCCCTGGAGAAGGGCACAGCAACCCACTCCTGTATTCCGGCCTGGAGAATCCTATGGACAGAGGAGCCTGGTGTGCTACAGTCCGTGGGGTTGCAAAGAGTCCGATACAACTGAGGCATCTCAAGCGTGTGAGTGCACGTGTACACACACACACACACACACACACACACACACACACACACAATCCTCCAACTGAGAACCTGCTGGCAGGACGGAGAATTGCAGACATTTCTAACAAGTGCTAACAGCAACCGTCTGAGGGTTCCAGTACATTCTGTAATACAGCGGCAATTACTGAGGGGCTCCAGGAACCCTGGGCCTGCAGCCAGAATTCAGGAGGGGGTGCCTGCAGAGTTGGAAGCAAGGCAAAGGGCTTGAGTTGCTGGCAACAGATGTCCAACCACAGGGTGGAGGAGGAAGGGCCCGGGGTGTCTGACCATGGATGGGCAGCCAGCCAGCAAGAGGAGAGCCAGGGGCTAGGCGTGTGACGGCAGGGACCGGGGCGGGGTGTATGGGGGGCGCTCTGGGACAAAAGGCGAGCTGCATCCTGTGCAGAAAGCACATCGCCACGGATGGCTTTCACGGAGCTGCACACAGGCTCCCGTGTCTTCCGATGTTTAGAGGGGTCGGGTCAGCCACCCCCTCTGACCGAGCAGAGAGCAGTTCTGAGCTGCTTAATCTGGGCTAAAGAAATGCCAACTAAGGACCACTACCATCAGGCAGCTTCTCAGATCCTATCAGAAGAGCTTGATGGGGAAGAGAACATTTTAAAATGAGAGTTTGTCCAAGCAAGCACGTAGCCCACCGAAACTCACTCAACGACTGGGTCTCCAACTGTGAAATGAGGCCAGTCAGTGACAACAACCACTACTCATTACCTCCAGGTCAAGAAAAGTGCTTTCAGTGAAGGGTTAAGGCAGAACAGAGTTCTACTATGAGATGAACAACTTGATAAGTTAAACCAGATATATTAAACAGACTACATTTTAATATTTTGCAGTTACATTTTCTTAGTAATATACAGATGGGCTCCAAACAGGCTTCGTCGCTGACCCAGTGATTACTGGCACGCCGTTTTACACGTGGTACAGGGTGGTCGGTAACCTCAAGGTGCCCGTGTCCGCCCTACACACACCCCGGAGAGCCAGACTGTTGACAGAGTCTCACCATTGCCTGGTGACCTGTCTTATCGATGTCAGCCACATGAGAGCAGAGACAGAACTTGATCATAAACTGTCACGTGCACACCATTAATAGAGCTACTGATTAAAACAGCCAATGTTTTTTGAATGCTTCCTATATGGTGGCCACCATTATAAGAAGTCTGTGTATTCTTAATCTTCCCAACTACCATAGACATAAAGATTTATTATTTATTTGCTCCATCTGATAGATGAGACAACTACGGGACAGAGAGGTGAAGTTATTCTCCCAAAGTCACACAGCTAGTAACTGGGGAAGCCAGGAATTGAATCCAGGCAAAATATTTCCTGATCCTGGATTCTGAACCAACATGATACAGCATCCATGTATGTAAATAAGTCAGGAAGCATGATACAGAATTTAGATGCAGGATTAAAAAAAATCTGGCTTTTAACTCAGCTGGTAAAGAATCTGCCTGCAATGCAGGAGACCCTGATTCGATTGCTGGCTCGCGAAGATCCCCTGGAGAAGGGATAGGCTACCCACTCCAGTATTCTTGGGCTTCCCTGGCGGCTCAGATAGTTAAGAACCTGTCTGCAATGTGGGAGACCTGGGTTTGATCCCTGGGTTGGGAAGATCCCCTGGAGGAGGGTGTGGCCACCCACTCCAATATTCTTGCCTGGAGAATCCCCATGGACAGAGAAGCCTGGCAGGCTATACAGTCCATGGGAGCGCAAAGAGCCAGACACGACTCAGCGACTAAGCACAGTGTTCTCACTTCCTTTATAATCTTAGGTGATTTACCTGTCATCTCTGAACCTTGGTTTTCCCATCTTTAATATGGATACCATAGTAATAACAAAACTACAGAGTGGGTAAGGTAGATAACGCACCTAGTTTCACCTAGGTTAGTTTCAGTAAACATTATTTATAAAAGGAGGGTAAGATGGTCTGTATTATTCTTACGAAAAAAACTGCCTCTTTGGAAATGTTCCAGAATTGGGTTCTGAGAGATCTGTAATGTGAATTTGGGGAGCTATGCTATTAACAATTTAAAAGCAGAACTGCTTTCTTAATAATAGTTAAGATACTGAATAAATAAGAACAAAGGATACAGCAGGTTCCAAACACAACTGACACAGATAAGCTCCCCAAGTGTGATCTACAAAGCTATTTAATGTTTGATATCCAACATGATTCTGGATGGCTCCAGGTAACTCCTGGAGTGCAGTGCAAGGCCTGAAAGTAATATCACGTGCTGCCCACGGCACCTCATAATCCGGGTTGGCCTTGAAGGGCCAGCATTAAGTTCCCATCCATACCCTGCTCCCGTGGGTACAAGTCCCCCAGCTAAGCAACCCTTCTCCCAGTGGACCAGATGCAGCTCCTTCTCATTCCCAAGTAGTGGGTTTTCTTCCCTGCCGGCCTGTTAATTACTCAAACAAGCCAATCACATCCTCCGCTGAGAACCAGGGGTCCCCTCACCCTCTTGATGCTACAAAGCCTGCCTCTACCGTCCCTGCTGGTTCACTCTATTCCTGACAGTGCCCTCCTCCCCTGGGCAGTGAGCGTATGCGACTAATAAACTGCTGTCAACCTCATCTGTCCAGTGTCAGGCGTCATGTGTTTTAGACATCCCAGTAATCCTAGGACAGGAATCCCGACCTCACCAACGGGTGCACAGGAAGTGATTGTAACACCATATATGATAAAAGCTGATCCGGAAGGAATTATATACCACCAGCAAGGGGATTTACATCCACGGACCCTCACCGGGATTTCCTGTTTCTGACACGAGGTACATGGCAAGCTTTTCTTAATCACCAATTCCCACTACCCAACACTAGCCAACTCATCTCACCAACAAAATCTTTGGTGCTCCTTGGTAACAAGGTGCTGTGTGAGGAATGGTATTTAACTAGAAAATGTGATACTTACTCACAAGCTTAAGTTCCACTGGCATCACCAACTTGATGCACATGAGTTTGAGCAAGCTTTGGGAGTTGGTGATGGACAGGGAAGCCTGGCACGCTGCAGTCCATGGGGTCAAAAAGAGTCGGACACAACTGAGTGACTGAACTGAACTGGTGTTCTACTGGAGTAGGAATACATACTCAGGTCTAAAATGTCTGAAATCACAAAAAGGGACCTCCCTGGTGGTCCAGTGGTTAAGAATTCATCTGCCAATGCAGAGGTAAGGGTTCGACCCCTGGTCCTGGAAGATTCCACATGCCTCGGGGGCAACTAAGCCCATGCAGCACAGCTACTGAGCCTGAGCTCTAGTAGCGGCTGAAGCCCTCAGGCCGCGACTACTCCTAGAGCCCATGCTCTGCAACAAGAGGAGCCACGGCAATCATGAGCCCCGCGCACCCCAACTAGACAGTAGCCCCTGCTCCCTGCAACTAGAGAGCCTGCATGTGGCAATGAAGACAGCACAGCCAAAATAAATAAATAAATAAAGTTATAAAAAAATAAAAATACAATCACAACAAGGAAGACACACAGGTCAGAAAACTTAGGAACTTTATTTTTCACCGAAGACCACCTGGTTGGCGTGTGGGTTTTGTTTTTCCTGAGCAACATCATCAAAAACTGCACCGTTACTTCCCGAGTCTCCCACAGAACCACAGAAATCCACCTTCACTAAGGAGGACGCTTCCCGCTATAAAAATCCCTGGTCACCTCGGAAGCATGACACAATTAACCTGGATATTAAAGCATGGGGTAGTCGCTCAGTGAAAAGCCAGTGGAGTATTGATATCAGGTTTGTTTTAAGGGTAGGTGGAAGATCAGGGACTCAGCCTTCCCAAAGCACAGAAGTATTTCCTCTCAGTTCAGATTCTATAAAAACTGGATGTTTCTCTAGCCTGACTTGGCTGTTGGTTTTAATTTACCTGCTTTACTTAACTGACCTTGTGCTTAGTCGCTCAGTCATGTCTAACTCTCTGTGACCTCACTGACTGCAGCCCACCAGGCTCCTCTGTCCATGGGATTCTCCGGCCAAGAATACTAGAGTGGGCTGCCATTCTCTCCTCCAGGGGATCCTCCTGATACAGGGATCAAACCCAGGTCTCCTGCATCTCAGGCAGATTCTTTACCGTCTGAGCTACCAGAGAACCCCTGAACATTGTTATAAACCCACAAATTTGACTGCATTCTACCTGCAGCACAGATGTTAGGTCCCCAGGCTGGGAGAGTAGGCGTGTAGGTACCTGCACATGAAGTATCTCCCTGGGGCAACTGGGTCCTTTAGCCACACTTAGAAAACATCTCTAATTGCATCTTGTAAGAGGAGCTAAAACTTAAAGGACTGTCTGCTTTAAATGTTAAAGTTCAGGAAATCAATTATCTTGAACTATAACTGATGGCTGTGTGAGTTCATTTCCAGGCTTGGAGATCAAGCAGGGCACAGCACACGAGAGCGGGAACCGGGTGATGAGGGTCTGACGTCAGCAGGCAGAGAGGCCGGCCTCTGCGGTCTAACTGCTAAAAATTCTCTCCCATCCTCAGACATGACATATTTGCCCTTTATGATACTCGCACTGACCAAAAAATAACCCCTTTTCTCAAGAAAATCCGAACAGAAGGAAAAGAAGCAGGATGAGTACCATGCTCAGGTTTTCAATACCCAGCACATCCCCACCTCTGAAATAACAGTAAAAGATCCTCCCTTCCTCTCCTCTCTTGTTTACCAATGGATGCTACAAAAAAGAGACACGTTACTGGCAGCCTGAATTCAAATATTGAATACAATATCATGAAATTCCACATCCCTTTGCATCCCATCATTTAAAAAAAAAAAAAAAGATTCACATCTTTCTTTCCCTCTCACAATAGTGCCAGCTCTGTGTAGGCTGAAATATATTAGGAGTCAAATAACATAAGACATTGGGCTTCCCAGGTGGTGCTAGTGGTAAAGAGCCCACCTGCCAATGCAGGAGACTTAAGAGATGTGGGTTCGATCCCTGGATTGGAAAGATCCCTTGAAGGAGGGCCCAGCACTCACTCCAGTGTTCTTCCCTGGAGAATCCCAGGGACAGAGGAACCTGGTGGGCTATAGTCCACGGGGTTACAAAGAGTCAGACATGACTGAACAAAGCACAAAGCTCAATATGGGACATTAATGAAGTTACTTGCCTTCTTCAGACCCTTTCAGAGCAGTGAATGTAACTGAAAATAACACCATTTGTATCCCTTTAATTAACAGAATGTACACTGCTGAATAGTTAGAGTTGGACTATAAAGAAAGCTGAGCGCCAAAGAATTGATGCTTTTGAACTGTGGTGTTGGAGAAGACTCTTGAGAGTCCCTTGGACAGCAAGGAGATCCAACCAGTCCATCCTAAAGGACATCAGTCCTGAGTGTTCAGGGGAAGGCTGGATGTTGAAGCTGAAACTCCAATACTTTGGCCACCTGATATGAAGAGCTGACTCATTTGAAAAGACCCTGATGCTGGGAAAGATTGAAGGCAGGAGGAGAAGGGGATGACAAGAGGATGAGATGGTTGGATGGCATCACCGACTCAATGGAGATGAGTTTGAGTAAACTCCGAGAGTTGGTGATGGACAGGGAGGCCTGGTGTCCTGTGGTCCATGGGGTCACGAAGAGTCGGACACGAATAAGCAACTGAAAACACTGCTGAACAAGTATTTCCCTTCAAAGTGGGCAACAATGAAGGCCATACGCTTACTCTGGCCAAGCTGGCATTGCTCAGAGTATTTTTCAAAGCCTCCTTCTAAGAGCAGACACAGGACTTCCTGAGCGGTCTAGCAGTTGGTTCGGGAGGATCCCGCATGCCTCGGGACAGCTAAGCCCAGAAACCACAACTACTGAAGTCCACGCACCTAGAGTCTGCGCTCTGCAGCAAGAGAAACACCACAGTGAGAAGTCGGCACAATGCGACTAGAGTAGCCACCACTCGCCGCAGCTACAGAAACCCTGCATGCAGCGACAGAGATCCAGCATAGCCAAAAAGTAAATCACATCGTTCTGTTAAAAGAACAGACATAGACCCTGCCCTCCATCCTGCCTGTGGGTCCACGCATGGCACACACGCTTACACACATCTGCTGCAGTTGTGAGGCTCCTCTGTCCACAGTGTTTCCCAGGCACGAATACGGGAGCCGGTTGCCATTTCCTACTCCAGGGGATCTTCCCGACCCAGGGATCGAACCCATGTCTCTCAAGCCTCTTGCCTTGGCAAGTGGATTCTTTACCACGGGCACCACTTGGGAAGTCCCCATCAAACAGTTCCGAGTTAAAGTCAAGCACCTGTGTGCACGCATGCTCAGTCATGTCTGACTTTACGATCCCATGGACTGTAGCCCACCAGGCTCCTCTGTCCATGGGGTTCCCCGGGCAAGAATGCTGGAGTGGGTTGCCATGCCCTCCTCCAGGGGATCTTCCCCACCCAGGGATCGAACCCAGTCTCTTACATCTCCTGCACTGGCAGGCGGGTTCTTCACCACTGTGCCACCCAGACTTTGTCTCCTGGCTAAAGTCAAATGACCTCTAAAGCAGGGAGCGGACAACATTCTTGTCTTCCCAGATTAGATTCTGTGTCCTTCACAGAAATGGCAGCGTAGTTTTTGGTTGTTTACATGGTTACCTGTAAGACTGGGTCTTCTCACCTGCCCTGTGCAGTTCTAACCAACAGGATGTGAGCAGCTCACACATATTACATATAAAAGGCACTAGATGCTGGAAATAAATATACACACACACACATACACATACACACATATATATATGCCATTTAAAAAAAGAAAAAGAGTGTGCCATGACTTTGAGGGCTTTTCTAAACCAGGCATTGCAACGGCTTAGCCACAGAGAGCCTTTCAAGGTGACCGGTTAGAAGAGGACGTGCTCACTCAGATGATTAAGTCTAGGTGTGTTCTGAGTCTCCTTTCTTTACTGTCAAATAAATAGGGGAGGTCAACGTTCACAGGAGACAAGGCTTTAACACAAGTTGTGTTGGGCCGCACCACACACATAGCAACATCCACATACTTGAAAAGGAATTCAAACCCACACACGGGCAGAAGGCCCCTGGAAAAAGGCCTGTTTATGATAAAAGAAGAAAAGCAAAGGCCGAAACAAAAGCATGCCTTAAGACTTACGTGGTTATCTTTATAGTAGTAAGAAAGGGCAGGAAATCGCCGTCTGCTCCGGAACTTGGAACTCCCCACTATGATGTGTGCCGTGGCCAACTTGGGAACGTACAGTTCGGTCGGGTAGGAGTCACAGACCTGGCGTGGAAAACACAAGGGGGTGTTTAGGCCTCGGCGTGCTGTGCCAACAGCCATCAGAAATTCCCTTCCACCGGGCTTGAGGGTGGCATACTTCAGTTTTCTTAAGTTGCAGAGCCACTGCAGAGAAAATGAAGCTCTGATGCTAAGAAACCACAGTGAAACAGCCAGACACGCTTTGGCCCCCGGCCCTTGGGCACTGCCCCTATCTCCAAGGGCTCTTCATGGGAGTGGGAGGCAAGACAGGGACCAATGGGCATTTCATCAATCGAAAAGGGAAAAGCAATTTTGCATCCTGGCAACAGAGAAAATGTCAGCTATCTGTTCAAGAGAGCCCCACCCTGGGAGACGATGTCCTCCTCGGGGCCCCTTCTGTCCCCGGCACGTCCCCTGTGCGCTCCCATCTGAGGCAACAGCTGAGCCAGCGTGCTCTCTGGACCCCTCTCCCCTCCAACCTCCCAAGCTCATCTTCAGGGTCAACTCAGGGCCTCTCCCCTGGACTTCCTAGCATTCCACCCCTCACCACGCATTACATCAGCTTCCTGCTTTTTATGTGTCGATTTTACAAGTGGTAAGAAATGAGTTACCCTTTCTGCGCATCCCTGACAATGATTCCCCCAGTGGAATCTCTGGAGCCTTGGAATGATCTTGGGAATTTTATCAGAAATTAGGGGTTTAGGGGACTTTCCCTGGTGGTCCAGGGGCTAGGACTCCGCTCCGAGCTTCCAATACGGATGGCGGGGTGGGGGAACCTGGGTTTGATCCCTGCTCAGGAAACTAGGTCCACACAGGCCACAACTAAGAGTTCACATGCTGCAACTAAGTGCAGCCAAATTAATAAATAGATTTAAACTTTTTAAAAACCATCTTAAAAAAAATAAATCAGGGGTTTAGGACCCAGTTCCAGTTTGCCAACTTCATGACTTTCGAGAAATCAAACTACCGAGCACTTGCTACTCTCTTAAGACTGACAGGGAACAGAAATGACATCGCCTGGGACCGATACAAGGATCAAATCAGGTAACACCCACAAGACTCTTCACCCATGAGGTCTGACAAAAGTGGCAGTGGTGGCAAGAGTAATGGTAGTTGACTTGTTGCTAGACACATAATTTGCTTTGACATTGGTCAACCCATCTTTTGGGGCTTCCCTGATAGCTCCGTGGTAAAGAATTGGCCTGCTAGTGCAGGAAACACAGGTTCAGTCCCTGGTCTGGGAAGACCCCCTGGAGGGGGATGAAATGGCAACCCACTCCAGTATTCTTGCCTGGGAAATCCCATGGACAGAGGAGTCTGACGGGCTATAGTCCATGGGATCGTAAAAGAGTTAGATGTGATTTACTGGCTAAAATAACAACAACCCTCTTTTTGCAACAGGAGGATCGTTTGAAAGGCAGTTCCTAAACTTTATTTCCTAGAAGTCAAGGATCTTCTTGGGCATTTGAAGGCAAGTCCTCAGGCAGGTGCAGCAGCAGGCGAAATGCTGTGTGCACGTCCTCTGTCCATTTCGCCTGTCCTGACCACTCTGAACCTTGAGACAGAAGGGCACAAAAATGCACCTCAAAGCTCACGCCAACTGTCCTGTGCTCAGGTCCTCCCTCGCCTGCCTCCCCGCTTGTCTTTGTTACCAGGCTGGGCACCACACTGAGCAGGAGACGGAAAGGCCACTGGAGTGACCCTCTCGGGCCCAAAGCATTTCCCCAAAGGCATTTTACGAAAGATTACCAAAGACACCAACGTGGGCTCTGGCACTGAGACTCGGGAGGAAAGTCCCAGGAACAGATGGTCCAACCTACTTGGAACCTGAGCATTTACTGGAACTACTTCCCCAGACACTGGCCTGGCTTCCCCTGCAAATCCGGTGTCTGGACCTCTCTTGAGTCAGCAGCCAGGACATGACTATACTGAATTAAAGAGACGTGTGGTCACTGCATCAGACTTACTATGTTTTCTTAAAATAACAGTTTTAAAAAGGAAATTAGTAGGTTTTCAGAAGTTGGGAATTACCCACTTTCTTTAATGGCGCTGGTGGTGGTTCAGTTGCTAAGTCTTGTTCAACCCTTGCAATGCCATGGATGGTGGCCCACCAGGCTCCTCTGTCCATTGGATTTGCCAGGCAAGAATACTGGAGTGGGTTGCCACTTCCTCCTCCAGGGAAATCAACCCTGAATATTCATTGGAAGGACTGATGCTGAAGCTCCAATACTTTGGCCACATGATGCAAAGAACCGACTTACCAGAAAAGACTCTGATACTGGGAAACACTGAAGGAAGGAGGAGAAGAGGACAACAGAGGGTGAGAGCTTAGATAGCATCACCGACTCAATGGACATGAGTTTGAGCAAACTCTGTGAGGTGGTGAAGGACAGGGAAGCCTGGAATGCTGCAGTCCACAGGGTCACAAAGAGTCGGACATGACTTCACAACCGAACAACCACCACCACCAAGGTGGACAAAAGTAAATTCATCCCTGCTCTTATGAAAGCAGACAGCACTTTCCAGCAGAAATTAAACATCAATCCTAGAAAGTGCTGACGGGTATTGCTTTTGCAACAAGCTCACACAGTTGAAGTTAAAATTATGACAATGAATAATACAAAGCACAGTGCAATTTATGCTGCCAGATTATGAGACTACTCAATGTGCCCCCCAAAAGTTTGTCTGGCCTGGAAAATCACGTAAGAAAATTCAGAGAGAAAATGAGAAGTTCAGAAAAGTGGGAAATGCTTCTCTTTTGAATTTTCTTTATATTTACTCTCCCTTAGACAACTGAAGTGGATTAAGTTAAAAACATTCCTGCATAATATTTTTATTTTAATAAGGGAGTGATTTGCTTTATCTTCCATTAAATAAACCCTCCTGTGGTGCCTACATGTCTTACTTGGCCTGGTCAAGAAGAATCTTTTGGGGTAATTCATTCACTCATTCAACAAGTTTTTTTAAATTGAAATATATTTAATATATAACACTGTATAATTCAAGGTGTGCGTGTGCATGCTTAGTCACTCAGTTGTGTCTGACTCTTTGCAACCCCATGGACTACAGCCTGCCAGGCTCCTGTGTCCACGGGATTCTCCAGGCAAGAATATTGGAATGGGTTGCCATTTCCATCTCCAGGGAATCTTCCCAACCCAGGGATCGAACCCAGGTTTCCCACATGGCAGGCAGACGCTTTACCCTCTGAGCCACCAGGGAAGTCCTATACTGTCTGAGCCACCAGGGAAACACAACCTAAGGTGTTCAGTTTGGTTAAGTCACTCAGTCGTGTCCGACTCTTTGTGATCCATAGACTGCAGCACGCCAGACCTCCCTGTCCATCATCAACTCCCAGAGCTTACTCAAACTACTAAAACTCATGTCCATCCAGTCAGTGATGCCATCCAACCATCTCATCCTCTGTCATCCCTTTCTCCTCTGCCTTCAGTCTTTCCAGCATCAGGGTCTTTTCCAATGAGTCAGTTCTTCCCATTAGGCGGTCAAAGTGTTGGAGTTTCAGCTTCAGCATCAGTCCTTCCAATGAACATTCAGGACTGATTTCCTTTAGGATAGACTGGCTGGATCTTCTTGCAGTCCAAGGGACTCTCAAGAGTCTTCTCCAACACCACAGTTCGAAAGCATCAATTATTTGGGGCTCAGCTTTCTTTATGGTCTAACTCTCACACTCACACATGACTACTGGAAAAATCTCAGCTTTGACTGCTGCTGCTGCTAAGTCGCTTCAGTTGTGTCCGACTCTGTGCAACCCCATAGATGGCAGCCCACCAAGCTCCCTGTCCCTGGGATTCTCCAGGCAAGAACATTGGAATGGGTTGCCATTTCCTTCTCCAGTGCATGAAAGTTAAAAGTGAAAGTGAAGTCGCTCAGTCGTGTCCGACTCTTAGCGAGCCCATGGACTGCAGCCTACCAGGCTCCTCTGTCCATGGGATTTTCCAGGCAAGAGTACTGGAGTGGGGTGCCATTGCTTTCTCTGTAGCTATGACTAGATGGACCTTTGTCAGCAAAGTAACATCTCAGCTTTTAATATGCTGTCTAGTTTGGTCATAGCTTTTCTTCCAAGGAGCAAGTGTCTTTTAATTTCATGGTTGCCATCACCTCACCATCTGCAGTGGTTTTGAAGCCCAAGAAAATAAAGTCTGTCACTGTTTCAATTGTTTCCCCATCTATTTGCAATGAAGTGATGGGACTAGATGCCACGATCTTTGTTTTATGAATGTTGAGCTTTCAGCCAGCTTTTTCACTCTCATTAAGAGGCTCTTAAGTTCTTCTTCACTTTCTGCCATAAGGGTGGTGTCATCTACATATCTGAGGCTATTGATGTTTCTCCCAGCAATCTGGATTCCAGCTTGTGCTTCATCCAGCCTGGCATTTCACAAGATATACTCTGCATATAAGTTAAATAAGCAGGGTGACAATATAGAGCCTTGACATACTCCTTCCCCAATTTGGAACCAGTTCATTGTTCCATGCCCGGTTCTATCTGTTGTTTCTTGACTTGCAAACAGACTTCTCAGGAGGCAGGTAAGGTGGTCTGGTATTCCCACCTCTTTAATGATTTTCCACAGTTTGTTGTGATCCAAACAGTCAAAAGCATTAGCATAGTCAATGAAGCAGAAGTAGATGTTTTTCTGGAATTCTCTTACTTTTTCTATGATCCAGTGGATGTTGGCAATTTTATCTCTGTCCCTCTGCTTTTTTAAAATTCAGGTTGAACATCTGGAAGTTCACAGTTCACATTCTGATGAAGCCTGGCTTGGAGAATTTTGAGCATTACTCTGCTAGCGTGTGGGATGAGTGCAATTGTGTGGTAGTTTGAGCATTCTTTGGCATTGCCTTTCTTTGGGATTGGAATGAAAACTGACCATATCCAGTCCTGTGGCCACTGCTGAGTTTTCCAGATTTGCTGACATACTGAATGCAGCACTTTAACAGTATCATCTTTTAGGATTTGAAATAGCTCAGCTGCAATTCCATCACCTCCACTAGCTTTGTTTGTAGTGATG